TATATATATATATATATATATAATACATACCACATATATAACTCTGAAGCTTAACTCGCGAAATATCTACTTCAAACTCAATAATTATCGACGTGTTGAATGTCTCGCTTAATGAAATCCTGATTACAATTCTATAACGGTATATCGCATAAAATAGACATAGAGACAGCGGCTTGTGTACAGCCCCGCTGAATAATAATCGAGTGCGCGAGATCAAGCCATCAGCAAATTAAGTTGAAATTCGCTATACAAGCTCGACGGACGGCTCGACAGTTTTCTCTGTTGAGTGCAGCTGTTGTTACCGCTTCCTCGAAGTTGGTCGAGCGGCGAGCGTGAATGGTCGAGCGACGAACATTTTATGCTCGCCGCTCGTATGATTAATACATGAAGCGACCTGTCCGAAACACGCCACCCGCCGCGGCGCGGAAACGGAGAGAGGAGCCACGACACGCTCGCTCGCCGAAGAGGCGGGGATTGTACGGGATGGACCCGGATCCATTCCGCAAGGGTGTTGAAGGACGAAAGGGGGGAGGGGCGGGGGGATAGGGGACCTTGCGCATAATCGCGCGTATGACAGGTCGCGACGACGTAACATAATTCCGTCTCGGGAGGATTCAGTAACCGGAGAGACGTTATCCTCATGTCAGCCGCACACGGCGCGCCTGGCGAACGGCTAACGAAGGAACTCTGATTAATCATAAAGAACTCGACCGGTTGACGCCGGCGGCGCACGACGTGACGAATCCCCCCCCCCCCCGTTTGGTTTTCTGATATTGTAAAATGGAAACGCGGGCTGAGCACACGTGGGAAAATAATTTATAGTTTCAGGAACATTAAATAGACGGCTCGCAGCGCATGAGAAATCAAACGCCGGGAAGTGTGAAATGTTTCTGAATTTACGATACGTCCGTCTGCAGATTAGTTGGGCTTTTGCTTCGTCGAATAAATTAAAGCTTAAGCGTTAACGCGTCGTAAACGTCGTTCCTACGATACGAGACTTCGCCGCGTTTTCTATACTCCAGCGAAAAATTTTCAATACTTTCTTTACTAACATATCTTTTTTCTCTCTTTTTTGTCACAGGCAATCCTGATGGTCGTTGATGGCGGGTTCAAGCGCTAAGCGAGTGCACGCATCGTTCAATGGAGTTTCAAGTGCGGTCATCGTATCGGCGATCACGCTGCGGCTTCGAGGTTCCAGGTAGGGAATTCGCGATTTCCGCCGACCACGGTCATGCAAGTAATACCGATCGCGCGCGCATTCGCGAGTATGCGGGACCCACGGTCAGGCTACTACCCGTAAAGGGCGCCGCTCGCTACCAGGAAAAGGGTCTCGAGGAATGTTTACGAGCACGAACGGCGCAGTTTTACGAGCCCGTACGATGCGCGCGCGTGCGGATTATACGAAGCTATACGGGACGGGAGTTGACTCGGGTGTATACCCGGCGCGGGCGGATAATATCCTCGAGGTCGAGTGAAACGACTGGAATGATATTCCCTGAAGGGTTGAAAAAGATCTCGGGAGAAGCCTTCTGAGCACACTCCGGCAGAGTGAATTGACGGGAATAATTGTTTCCGAATGATACAGACTTGAAATAATTAGGCGCGTCTCCTGAGATTAAAGGCTTGAATTAAATCAAGAATAGATTAGGCCGTTATTTCGTATTATGAAATTTTAATAAGAATCTTGCGCGCCTGTAGGGAGACATAATATCAATGCGAATCAAATGATTCGCCAATCCAATAAAGAAAGAATTGAATATTTAGAATTTAAGCGTACATAATTTTTAGGTATAAATAAAATTAACTTGCGCGTCATTAATAAAAGAAGTGACGTTACTTTCTCTAATTTACATTAAAACTACCGTTAAATTAAGCATTAATACTTAAAAATATCAATTTCTAAATTCATAAATTAATTCAATTTTTAATTTATATTAAAATTATTTTTAGAATAGCACATGCTTTCTCTCGTTTGACACTCACTAAGATCTGAAATCTTTCATCAGAGTCGATAAAACTCGTGTGTTATCCGTCAATGCTCACGTATACCTTCTCGTATAATAAAAGACGTCGTCGCGGCGAGATAGATGCAGGTAGGGCTGCCATCCGTCCGGATTTCCCCGGATTTGTCCTAGTTTTGAAGACGTCCGGGGGCGTCCGGGCGGGTTTTTGAAGCGGTCCGGGTTTTTTTATTACTCGTATTATTAAATAATAGCTGCGCAAACGTCGTTGTAAATGACGTAATTGAACTCCTACCTCCCGGCTTTTCCATAAGAGCAAAAAAATGATTGGCTATTACACCATGCCATGCGTAACACTAAACGCACTGATGCGTCCTGTCACCTGTGTCTGTGAACAGTGTGAACCAGTGTGAACAAGCCATAGTCTGATATGATGTATTAAGTAATTGAAATTTGCAATAAGAAAATTAATATTAACACTAAAAAAAAGTCCGAGTTTTAAGCTATAAAATCCGGGGTTTTAGAGCTCACAGTCCTAGATTAATAATTTTACAGATGGCAGCCCTAGATGCAGGCCATTCGGCCGCTCTCGTTCGCCGGCTGGAAAACAATTTGCCGACGGCATCGGGGGCGAGATTACGACGAGTCGAAAGTACCGATAGGCATCGGCGAAAAAATATACTGAGTACACTTCGTGTTTATCGAGGTTTACGTTCGCCCTCGCTGCTAACGATAGTGCCCTACTTTTGTAACAACTCGCAACTGGTATTGAATCCCCCAACCGCCGCTGAATTGCGCTCGCAACTATGCCGCGACAACGCTGCGGAAACACCCTCGTTACCGGGCGATATTACGAACATCATTATTCATTATTCATTATCCATCGTGTTATTTTGCCTGATCGGCGCGCTATTATTTAATGATGTAACATGGACGGTATATTTCGAGCGGCAAATTATTGATCCGTGCCGGCTGTCACGCCGTTTCGGCTTATTCATTCCACTGGGGAGAAAGTTCACATCCTTGTCGCTGTTCGCTTTGTTCAAAAAAGAAATAGGTTCTCGAAATCACTGTGGCGATTGAAATTTATATTTTCTCTGTTTACAATGGCCTTTGGAAAGTGGATATAAAGCCACTCTACTTATTGTGCTTCGAGGCTAACGTACAGATGTAACAAAAGTCGAAATCTGACAAGTACTTCGCATTAGAGCTTTAGAGCGATCGGACAACATCGAAGGACTTTATGTGCAGAAATATCGTTTTGAAATATGGTTGAAGAAAGACTCGAGAAACATATACGGCGACAGTTTTATCTCCTATTGATAACTATCGTAACGAAACAAAGTGGCGTGCTTTAGTGAAAAGAGAGAGAGATAGATAGATAGATAGATAGATAGATAGAGAGAGAGAGAGAGAGAGAAGGGAAGAAAGGGAGGAAAAAAGGGTTCACGTAGATCAAATGGGGTGTCTCTGGGTAGCTACAGGGTGATATTAAATCCTCGATGAAAAGGAACTTGCGCGAGTCAGTCGCGCGAGTCCTTAGACATCCTCCTGCCTTTCCACTCACCCTCCTAACCGGCTGTATGTGAGGAGGCGAACCTCCATGATTGCTTGCCGCTGAAAGGGATCATGACGGTTTTTTGTTTAATTTTCTGATCGACGTCGGAAGTCGAGAGAGAGAGAGGAGGTGCGAAGTCTCGAATACCCATCCTCCGCGAGAGGAAAAAAAAAGAGGAAAGACGGGGGAGAGAGAAAAGGGAGATCGAAGGATCGATACGCGTCGCGCGTGACCGGGAATCGGGATGCAGCGACGGGGAAGCGGCGTTCGGCAATTCTGATGATGTCCGGGGAGATCCCTTGTTTCGAGATGTCGGCGGCGAATAGAGCTCGCTGCAATTAGGCTGGCGCGTGTTTCCTCGCGTTTCTCTCGCCGCGCCGCCAGCTGAACTCGCAGTTACGTAAGTTAGCTCGCAAGTAAAAATTAGCTGTTACGCAACGCCGTCGCAGCGGGCGCCCCGATTACCCTGTAATCGATGCCAAGCACCTCGTAGTTTCGTACGAAGAAGATACGAATCGACCGAGAAGTCAGAAAGAATGGAACGGACGGTCGCAGAGTATTCTAACGGCGATATGCACAAAACCGCAGTTCTCTCCTCATCCCTCCTTCTCCCTCCCTCCCTCCCCCTCCCCGGTCTCTTTTCGCTAGTAAGAAAAGGTAGAAAGGAGGCACGAGACGAATCGCGCCGCGGCGGGGTTGAACGTGCAACGGATGCTAAAAACTCACTGGGAGAAGGGCCGCGTCGTGGGAGAGGAAGGGGGTGACCAGGAAAGTTGCGAGTATCCAATCATGGGAGGATATTGTGGGATCATAACTCCGCTTGCCGCCGGTCCGTCGAAGGACTCTTCCTCTCGCTACTTCATTCCCATCCCCCACTCCCCCCGCTCGGGCGGGGGGTAGTCTGCAGCTAGCGCTGACTCGGCAGAGTGGCGATAGCAATTGTTTCGCGGCCTCTCGTCATTTTCGCGAGACTACCCTCAACGTATAAAAGAGAGCCCGGTTTTGTTTTTAGTTGTATTTCTTAATTATACTTTTGGCTTTTTTCCACTACTCTTTTAGCTATATTCCTAGTTTTCGTTGTATTCTTTAGTTATATTTTTCAGCTCCATCGTACCTTTTTTCATTTCAGAATCCGTTAAAGTTTTCTGCCGAATAATATGTATCGAATTTTTCATTCACGGATCAATTCATACTTTATTTTTGATTAATTTGCAAAAGAATAATTAAATTCGCAAGGTATCTTCATGAAAAGAATGTTAGAGTCGACAATTATATATTATATATTGATAGCGTTATATTTATTACATCATTTATTACTCGTATATACAAGAGATTTCGATAAAGATCTGTCGGGCGACACATTTTAATAAAATAAAACCAGTATTTCTCCGACAAATTTTGCACACATTTCTTTAAAGGACTCGTGTTTCCGAAATGTAAAATATGTATTACAATGTAAGAAAAGCGGCATTTTGATACATGATTTCGTTCTTGACTATAGTCACGCCGTCTGAGGCAAATTACGAATTATAATATCGCGTACGCGGCCGACGTTTCACCGGGCACAGACGCAAGGATAACCGACTTGTCGGGCGATAAACAACGAAAAAAGAATGTTGGCGAGTTAACACGGCTAATGCAGCCGCGCCGGTCCGTGCCGTTTGCGCTCCGCTTGCGGGACGCGGTCGCATGAAATGAATTAACGGATCAACGAGACGAAAAGGGAGAAGCTCGCAGCTACGTTATGAAAGCCGCGGCCGTTCGTCGGCGCGGCCAGGGCGACGAAACACGCGGTTTCCTCGAATAATAAGGGATGAAATATGCACCTCGAGTTACTTCGAGTCGAGATTATATACAACGGTCGGGACGAAACCTGCGTGGTTCCTCGTTTCTCGGCAAGGGATTTCCTTTCTTTGGCTTCTTCCTTTAATCGGTTTCTCCCCCGCTTCCAATTAATTCTTATTTTCTTAATGGCAAAGAAATTAAAAAAAAAAGAAAATTAAGACTTGCGAGAGTGATTCGTCTCATCGATTTGACAGGGAGTAACGCGTGAATTTTATGTTTGCAAAAATTGCGTCAACTTCAAAAATCTTAAATCAGAAAAACCATGTCGAAGTTATATTTTCATGTCTTTGAATTGGCAAGGTGAATTTAATCGGACGCGATGTTTCAATGCTGAATCCGTTGTAGTTTGAAAATAATGGTTTATGCAATTTATGAAATGTTAACTGTCAAAGTCATAATCTCGAAACGCGAAAACGTGTCTTGCGTTTGCCTGGGGGGGAGGGGGGGGGTCGCGCGAGCAAGCGACCGTAATTAAAATTTGTCTGGAGAAGTCGCCTCGACTCTCGCAGTCGAGCGTAGACAGAAAATACGAGTCCGAGAGCGAGAAAGCGAGAGAGAGAGAGAGAAGGGAAACACCTGAGGATGGCAGCGACTTCCACGAGATTTCCTAGACGGTACCCGGCTCTCGTCTGGTATCCAACAGTCATCCCGCGTATCTTAATGCAGCATCGCGCGCTCGCGAGTGCGCCTTGATCTCGTTAAACTGTCGCAACTTCTCAAAGTCCGAACCGCCGGTCGATCGTCTAAACGGCGCGAGGAAACTCCGACGCGGAGGGCGGCGGAAATTTCGCGCGGCGCGGCGCGGGGGGCGATTTATCCGCGCGCGAAATGGACAAGGGACCGCTGATAAATAACGAAGACAGATTCCTGCTGCGAAAGTTTCTATTGAGATCGACGAGCCGTACATACCACGGGCGTATATCTTTTATCTCTCCACCACGTCGCGATATGCGAGTGCGTTAAAAGTTGCCTTACTCGTTAAGATAATTGTATAGTGATACTCCGATACTTGAGGCTGGAAAATCCAAGAATTTGAGAGACGAATTGTTTGATTTATCTGCAACGATACATCGAATATATATAATTTCGTAAATTACGAAATCGTAGATATTGCTTGTAAATCATGAATAATTTCAGCACGAGATATTTCTGATGTCCACAAGAGCAATTAATTAACTAAGGCAATTAATTAAGAGACGTGCATCTGCCACGTTTCCTCGATATCGCTCCGGAACAGCGACACACAGCGGGAGCACGTCTTGCGTGTCGCGGGACGGTGGGAAAAACCGCATCGATCTCGCGCGCGTTTCGTAATGCATGCGGGATATATACGCGCGATAAGAAGCTCCGCGAGATTTCCTCGGTTTCATCATCCGGAGACCGGGGAGACTTTATTTCCTGCAGCGCGGCGGCGGGGCAGGGCGCGGAGAGGGTTGCGAAATGTGTGCACGCTCACATCCTCGGGGACGCTCGGGGTATCCGCGCGGGGTTAGTCGAAGTTGCGCCAATAAATCTCGCCTCGCCCGGGATATTACTTAACGCACCGACGTTTCGACGCGCGATAAATCCCACCGTCGAATCGACGATGCACTTCGCATCCGTCGAATCGAATCCGCGGGCCGGGCGTGTCGATGCGAATCGTCCGCCGTATCGATCATCCCGGGGGGGGAGGGATGAAACAACTGTCCGTTGCTCTTCACACCTCGCCGCATTTTCGAGGCGGGGGGCAGAAAGGGATTTTTCCCCGGGATACGCGAATGCGGGACGCCGACGTTTCTTTGGCCGACGCTCGAAACGAGTTTACCGAATCCGGAGGCTGGAAGGGATCTCGTTCCGCGTTCGGCAATCACGAGTCTGAATGAAGGGGAAGGGTATACCCTTTTAAATCCCTTTGATTACGGATGCACGCCGTGTACATCATGCAGCGCCCAGGATACTTACGATACAAGGATTTTAAAGGTACATACTCATACACGTTTCAGTAATATTCATCCTACTTTATTTCAAGATATATACATTCGCCGCGTACCTCTCTCGCATAGTAAAACATCGTAAATCGTCATTACGCGCAGCGGCGCTCTCTTCACCGTAACGAGAAAGAAAAGCCTCCACTCGCGAGCTTTTATCATAAAAGTGCGCGCGAAGGTCCTCGTCGTGTAATTTAAAGGGCAATTCATCCGTGCGCGCGGTCGAATTATTAAAATTGCGAGTGCGCCGAGAATACGAATTCGCGCGTGACACTCATCCCTCGGCCGTGTACACGGGATGGTTAAGAATGAGGGATTCCTCAAGGCGCGGCGCCACTGCGCCTTTAGGAGTGACACATAATGTCGATTGACCCCGGACCTCTCCCACAGGTGCAATATACCGATCGGCAGCGTCGCCGCACCGCGCCACCGCCGTGCCACCCATTTCTGCCGATATATTCCCACAATAATCGACCGTAAGCCGCCCCAAAATCCCACAGCCCGCGGCGCGCTCCAAATAAAGACAAACAAACCGCGCCAACCTACCCTAATTCCGTCGGATGCCGCTGCGGAAAGTCGGCCATCGGGCGGCGGGAAGGCGGGGTGGAATTTTCGCCCGCTCTGGAACGCTCTGTATTTCGGATTATCCACCGGACGCGGACGGAGCCTCAAAGCCGGGCGAGTTCGCACAATGGATTATGCAATCTAGACAACACTCGCCAACGGTCGAATCGCCGCGTGATGAAAAGGCGATGTGCGAGGCACGAAATTGATGGCAAAATAAAAATACGGACGGCGATCGTAAAACTATTATCGCGTGGTGCAATAAAGAGTAAATCAAATATTTTTATGTCGAAAGAAACAGAATAAAAATAGACATATTGATTCATATTTTTAAAAGATTAATTTAATTTACACTGTTTGTTTAAACACATTTAAACAAAATGTATATATAATATATACATCTCAAGGTTTTACTTAAACCTCAAAATTATCTCCGATTCGTCAGATAA